TCAGAGGATACAACCCTTACATGCTGAAAACCTAAGAACCTACTAAAAATCTGTTAGAACCTATGGGCAAGTCAGGGATCATGATCTCCTCTGCCTTTCTTTTGTTGCCCACAATTGCTTTCGCTATTCTATGTCTCTTGTTTCAAATCAATTTGAGGGCTGTTTTCTCTAATTCTATGAGGTATGCTAATGCTATTTTGATTGAGATTTCATTAAGTCTGTACAACAATTTTGGGAGTATGGCCATTTTCACTATACTGGTTTTTCCTACTCATGAGCAAGAAGTATCCTTTCATTTTCTGCTATTCTCTTTCATCTCCTTTTTCAGAGTACTATGGTTTTCAATGTAGAGATCTTTACTTCCTTTGTTAGATTGATTCCTAAGTATGTATGTATGTATGTATGTATTTGTTTTTGGTGCTATTGTGAAAAGTGCTACCTGCCTAATTTCTCCTTCAGTAAGTTTGTTATTTGTGTACAAGAATGTTATTGGTTTTTGAGTATTGACTCAAAATAAAAAATGTTTTAAAAGTATAGAAGGATGTAGCTAAGTGCAAAGGTCAGTCTGCATTCACTCTCCAGAAATTAAAAAACAAATCCCAGGAGACTGTGGGAGGAGTGGGGAAAGTATCTTCAAACTTCAATAACTTTCTTGGGCAGATTGATAAAAAAAAATTCCAGGAAGGAAGAGAAAAAGGAGGATGCTCACCAAAAGATGCAAAGTCTCAGTCACAATGGAGAAGAAATCTTTAGTGATCTACAGAACTGCATGGTAATCACAGTTAAGAAGCAGTGTATCTTTCAAAGTGCTATACCATGGCATTTTGAATCCTATTCACTGTGAAAGAAATTGTAGACTGTAAGGTGGTATTTATATTAATTAGAAAGACTGTTTCTGCAATGTGGTCATATATCAAAGCAGCACATCATACCCCATAAATGTATACACCCCTCGTCAGTTAGAAAGTAAGGAGATTGTATCCCTGAAACCTTAGTACTCTGTGAGGCTAAGGAAGGAGGTCACAAACGTAAACCCAGCCTGGCCAAGTTAGTGAATTAGTTAGACCCAGCCTCAAAATTAAAGCAGAAAAACAAAATTTAAAAGGGTGTGGGAAGATACCTCAGACAGAAATTCCTGATCAAACTTTGAGTATTAAAAAAAATTTCAAGAAAGATGATGGAATTTTCCTCACACCAGATTCTTAGAGGGTATATTGAGCAGCATAGTTGCAGCCATTTTATTTAAAAGGTTGAAAATAAAAAATTGAAGCAATGAAAATACTTAAGAGTAGACCACTGTGTACATAGTGTTAAGTCTTATGCAAGGTGTGTCGACTAAGGTATACATGCAAGATAAATTGTGAAATCTTTGGATTGGTGAAAAAAATAGGTGATTTTTATATTTTCCTTTTTAAATTTTTTATGACAAAATATTGAATTTATGTTATATAAATATAGTTTGTTCTCAGGACGATTATACAACATCAATCCAGAAACCACTAAAAGTGAAAGAGATTCACAATCCTCACCAAGCCAAACCAAACCAAACCAAACCAAATTAAACCAAACCAAACCAAAACAAAACAAAAACAATCCCTCACACTCTGCTTTAAAAAACCTTTTTCAAGCATACTTCACTAACTTTTAATTTCAATGTATACCAGCAGTGTGGTCCAGCAATTTTACATATCAGTATTTTCTCCAAGAAATAAAAGTCTATACCATACAAACTTGTGTATAAGTGTGATGATAACAGCTTCATTTTTAGCAATTATCAGTCCAATTGTTTAAATACAAGATAACCAAAATTACAAAGTTTTTTGTTAATTTTTCTAATATAACAGGAAATATAAAATGACAGTTTAATCAAATTTATTCAATAATTTTCCTGCATATAGTATATTTTAAAACATTCAATATACAGCACAATGTTACAATCAGATGGCAGTATCTAGTCTTTTGTGGCTTTCTTTTCCCATTATTGTCATTCTGTGAGCAACATATTTCACACAGTTGTGTTGCCGTCCCTTTTTTTCTGTGGGTGGTGTAATTTCAGTGTAATGTCTACTCACTAAAGATAATGGTGAAGATGATGATGGAATCCTGCTTGGTGTTTCGCTATCCTACATTTTCCCATTATTTGATCTCTTCGATCTACTCTAAATAGTAAATGACTTCTTGAACTGCCTTGATTGGAATAAATGACACACTGTCCCATATTGTTTGGCCCTGAAGGTGCATACATGTTGTATAATACTATTTGGTTTCTTACTTTTTAATTATAGGATAACTTGTTAGATGTTGGTCAACTCTGTTAACTTTACCCAAAGAATTATTACAAACCTTTGAATTTCCTTCAGTTTCTTTTTCTCTTTCAAGCGCTATCATCTTGGTATTGTGAAGAGCTGCTAGAAGGAGGCATCTCTTTTGCTTTCCATTTCATAATACAGATGTTTCCCCTCAAATATGCCAACTTTTCTCCCTCTTTCAATTTTTTCTTTTGCAGATCATTTGACACTTTGTGCCTCTTCAGTCTCTTAAACATGTCCATTTTGTATTGTACAAGAATATGATGGAGTTCTGCAGAAGCATAAAAATTATACCTAATGTACTCAGGATGAGAGTTAAAAATTAAAATTTGAAACAATGCCAACACCTGACTCTAGGTCAATATCTACATGAAGGTAAATCTTAGGCACTGTGTGTGGACTAAAGCATATTTGCAAAGAAAACTGACAAATTTTTGGTGAAATTATAGGTGATATTTATCTTTCCTCCAAAACAAAACTGTTCAGTTTTATGTAACATTCTAGGTTTTCTCTAGTAGATTACACAAAATCAACTCAGAAAGCACTGAAAGTACAGGGATATGATATCACAATTCTCACAAAAACACAATACATCACAACAAAATGAGACAAGTCCAAACAAAAACAATATGGAAGGAAACAGAAGCAAGAAACCCTCCCAACTCTGGTTTAAATACCAACCTCAACAGACTTTCTAAGTTAGTCATACACCACCAATATGATCCAGCAATTTCCCACCTAAGTGTTCTCTCCAAGATAGAGAAGCTTGTTTCAGTGGAGAGATGTAAGTAAGAATGGTCAGAGCAGCTGGAGACAGCTGCTCTTTTTTTTAAACACTGGAGACAGCACAAATGGCCATCAGCATATGGGCATGGGACAATTCGTGTCCCATCCACACAATGGCATGCCATCACTCTGTCACAAGAAGCAACACATGGGAGACCCAGGGGGGTTTTACTGTTTGAAGAAGACCTACCAGAAACATCTGTACTCAGTGGTGACAGCCCCACCCTGTGGGAAAAGGAAAAGTCTCCACTAGGGACACCAAGCACATGGTCTGCTTGAGATGGGAAGACAGGAGAGGACAGCAATGGCCACAGAAAAGTCCCCAGGTGATGTGTGAATGTGTCCTTCATCCCCACTGGGATGATGAGCTCCATGAGCTCACAAGTACTGTATCTCACAGTTACCACCTACTGTCCCCTCAAACTGTGTTTAAATACACAGACCTGACCCCCATAAACATGGAGCCACTGACTACAGGCCAGGAGTATTCAGGTCCAGCCACCTCTGTGAGTCACCTGCACAGTGCCTGCCCTTGGCCCTCACTGTGTGTGTGTGTGTGTGTGTGTGTGTGTGTGTGTGTGTGTGTGGCTGTGGGTCTGGGTGTGGAGGTCAGAGTGCTGAATGACGTTCCTTCTGGGCAGGAGTAGGAGCTGGGAGGCTGTGGCCTGGGTTCCTGTCACATCCCCACCCATGACAGGGCTGGCAGGAGAAGGGCAGTGCCCAGTGATCATCTACTACGCCAGAGCCATCTCCTGTCTCCTGGGGGAGAAGCCTGTGACAGAGCTGTTTGTGCATTAGCTACACAAGGTCATCTGGGGGAAAAGCAGCACCAGCTGTGGTCAGGCAGAGCTTCACACTTAGAGATATCTGCTGGGCACACTCCCACAGAGCTGCACCCAGGTGTCGGCCTGGAACTGCCCATAGGGCCTGCGTACTGTGTGTCTGTGACACACACTGGGACCCACAACAACAACGGGTGCCACCTGCGGTGTAGGGATGTGCGTGTGAGCCAAGGGAACTCTGTACTGTGGCCACAGGAGGAAAGAGAGGAGACTGGGGAACCGATAACACCTTCACCACCTCCCTGCAGAACTTGGTGAACAGCGGGCCCAGGGTGCTGCTCCCAAAGGAATCAGAGCACCATGTCCTCAGCATCCACATCTTTTCTCAGCCTCCACCCGGGGAGGGGCAGGGTGACTGTCCACATGGTGGTGGGAATAACAGAAAAGGGACACAGAAACTACATGATTTCACTTTCTGTTGGGACTTAATTCTGGCGATCGCCTCCTCTTAGCTCCTGCCCAGGTGTCCATGTGGCACTAGCCTTACCATCCTTCTACCCTGTCCCAGCTCCTACACCAAGGCTGTGCTCACCCAGTCATCAGGTCCTTGTGCTCCGTCCATTTCTCTGACACTTAGTCTCTCCCAGGACTTCTCCGGGCCCTAGAGGTCAGATGTCACAGACCTCCTGGTCTAAATGACATTGTAAATAAGAGGTAAATAACACAGTTGTTCAGCCTCACAGGGATAAGGAATCTGGACCTGAGTCCCTTGAGAACTTTTCATCAGAAACCTGGGAACACTCTGAGTCCCCTCGTAAGTGGACTTGCCACCCAGGCTAAGCCTCTGCTTTCTAACTTCCACCATGGGAGGAGTCTCAGGAGTTGTCCATTGTTGCTCTTCATGGATGGAGTTTCGTACGCCCTCATCTCAGCTCACAAGCTGGCCTGAAAATGCTCGTATTTCTAGGTGACCCTTCTGAAATTTCACTTTTAGTTAAGAATCCCTTTTCTGTTGGGGCCCTCCAGTGCGCACTATGGACGTTTGGAGTCTGGTCTTTGCTTCAGCCTTAAACCCTCTGGTCAAGTGACAGGTGGAACACTGACTCTGTGTCTCCCTCTATAGCATCACAGATCAGAAACCAGGCTGCCGAGAGCCCAGCAGAGGTCTGCACATTGAGGACGGAGCAGGCGCACCCACCGCTTACCCTGATGGAGCCCCTGGAGCAGGACTCGCTGGACAGCTGCCCTATCCATGGCTGCCCCTTCCTGGAGACCCCAAGGGGTGACATTTTCACACCACACGCTTTGATGCTGGGAAGGTGAGTTCTGTCCTGAGCTGACCAGCAGGACTTAGCCACCGATGGCTCCAAGCCTTAGTGACCAAGTATTTCTCTCTGCCTCTCTGCCACTTTGAACAGCGAGGGGCTTAAAGAATGAAGTTAACAGGGTCGCTGCAGGAAGAAATGGGGTCTCCATGGGAAGCGTGGCGCCTGGGCTTGGCCCTGTGGCAGACCTGCTGTGGATTTTCAGGGATGACCTTCCTTCCTCACTGGGAAGCTCTGTGTCACCCACACTGAGCCTTGCCCTTGGGGAAGGTTGCTCTGTTTTTTGTAAAAGAGATTGGAGAGTCATTGTATGGGCTTCAGGGTATACCGGAGCAGGAAGCTTTTGGGGATAGCAGTGGGCCGAGGCCCACTCACATGTCACAGAAAAGTAGGTGAGTACACCAATCCATGAATATATGCAGAGGTGCACAGTGTGGAGGTAGTTTTGTGAGGCATGGAATGTGATCTTGTAACAAGAATAGATGGAAGGGGCCTTTTGGGTTCCAATGTTATTTGGGGGCACGGAGTCACCTTGGCAGCACAACGGATACGGCTCACATTACGGTACAGGTGACCCCTTCCTCACCTCCCTAGATGTGCACACGCACAGTGCAGGAGGAGCCGAGCAGAGGCACTGAGAACTGGGCAACACATGGCTCCATGCGCTGAAGCTGAGGAGGGGCAGCACAGGACTGATGCCCGCTGTCCCCTCGTCCTCAGATATTTATGGGGCAGCAGTCCTTGAGTGCAGCCACACAGCAGATACCAGTCTCTGTCCCATGGAGCTGACAGTGGGGATGCGCAGAGGGATGGTGCAGCAGCTGCCCTAAAGAAGGCAGAGGTGGTCACACCACTGGACAAGGGCTTCCTCCCATAGGATCTCTGTCAGGTGCTCAGGGCTGCCTGGGCAAGGTCTGCCCCTTAAGGATGGGGAGAGGGCGGGGCTGGACCATACACACACTGGTCTACCCCCCACAGGTGCCCTAGCAGGGAACGTGGGAGGCAAGGCCAGGCCTCTCACTGTGCTGTACCCACCTTCCCCAGGTCCATGTCTGATGTCCTTGACACCTCGCTGGAGGTGGACTTGCAGGAGGATCCCCCAGCTGAAGCCCTGGACCAAGGAAAGCACACTGTGCCCACCAAGGCAGAGGCCATGCATGAGGAGGACTGGGGTATGGTGCTGTGGGCATGTGGGGAGGGGATGGGCCTTTGCACACTGGGACCCTCAGGACTACAGCTGCAGCTGCAGTCTGGAGGACTTCCCGGGGGGAGGCTTTGTGCATAGAGCTGTCTCTGACATGTGGTGGGAAGGTTTTGCCCCAGGAAGGAACATGGACAGTTGCTGATCTTTTCTCTTCTCATAGTTGGAGGGCCAGATCCAGCCCAAGCTGAAGTCCCACCTGCGGAGCCCACACCAGCTCCACCTGCAGCTCCTTCCCCAGCTCTGATACCACAGGAGGAGCCAGCCCCAGGAAGCCCCTCTGCACCAGGTGCAGGGCAGGGGCTCCTGGTGGCTCCACAGCAGAGCTCAGCTCCTGAGCTCCCCCGGGGGCCTGCTCCTGCCCCACCCCTGCCCTTCCCCTGCATTACTGTGGCTCATGTTTTGGTGTATGCATTTGCTCTGACTTTCTGGCTGTATATAAACAATAGGATTCTTTTCAAATAAAAGGTAAGCTTGTAGTTAAGTTTAAACAATCGGCATGGAGGCCTGAAGTACATTCTTGGTGTTTGTGCACTGGACACCACTGTCCAGGGCCAGAGCCTTCCCCTCCGTGCTGTGCTGGGCAGCAGTTCCTCCCCTTCCCCCACTGGTAGTCCCTGACACCTATCACTGTATGTCCCTGTAGTTTACCTTGTAATTACCATGTAATTCTCATTTTCCACATCAGGGTAATTGGAATTCTCTTTGGTCACAGAATCTTGGAAGGAACTGATGAATCTTGATTTTTTTCTAACAAAGGAAAATTCTAGACAGATCCTATTAATTTCTCTTTCACATATTTACTGAAATGTCCTGTTATTTTTACTTGGAACACGATCCCTTCATTCTTCTCCCTTTGCACGTTCAGTGGCCACGATGCCACATTTGGATCACCAGCTTTTATCCTAGACAAAATCCAAAGTTTCTTGCACATCCTGCAGCTGAAAGGAACTTTTGTGTCTCTAAGTCTCATTTTCTTCCTAACAGTGGGCTTTCTGGGTCATAATCTCAGGAGTGGAGGTAGAGATCCGCTCACGTCAGTGTGGCTGCGGGACCACGGGGCAGAACACAGTACTCAGGGTGCAGAGTTGCATGGTGACTCCTGGGAAATGCACCTGTGTAGGCTTTCAGAGTAGCCTGGGAACATTCAGTCCCTGCTGACAGTGTCACATGTCAGAGGAGAGAGGAGTAGGACAGCACAGCCTCACATTTGAAAATGAACAAACTTTCTCTAGATCTTGACTAAATTTCATTTTTAAAATGTGAAATGTCAGAATAACCTGCAAACTAGAAGCTGAAGCTTCCGGTCTTGTTCTGTGGACACTGGAAAATCCTCACAACTGAGCTATAGTCTGTTTTAGTACTGGGTTTTGAATCCAGGATCTTCTTACTGGGCTATATCATCAGCCCCTTTAAGGCTTTTTGTTTGATTGTTTTAAAATCTTGACCATGCATCTCACTGTGTGGCTCAATTGTCCAGCTCAGCCTCAAACATGTGATCCTCTTGCCTCAGCCCCCCAAACTACTGGGATTACAGAGGCTCAACACCACACCCAGTTTCACTAAGAGGTTTTGAAAAACTCCAAAATGTACTGTTTTGAGTGTCCATCTTTAGGACTTGGGTCAATTTGGTGTCTCTGGTGAGGAGTGTGGGCTCCTCAGGAGAGGTAGCTCTACCTGAGAGCTCCGCAACTCACTGTCCTTGTGCCAGCTGAGTGAGCTTGATTCCAGGGCACGTAGCCTGCGTGGTGACCACAGGCTCTGGACTGACCTCTTCCCCACACTGACCCTGATGTGCAGAGTCCCCACATGCTTTCCCACCTTTTAGCAAGGTGAGCTTGGCCGTGAGGCAGGACAAGGTTATCTTAGTGAGGCCTTCCCCCCTCTCATCCCCCAAATCCTGCATGCATTCAGCCCCACTGTGCCTGTGAGAGCTGCTAGGAACCATCTTATCAGCCTTCACACATGACTCACAGCTCATGACCTGCACCGGCCTGTCACAGGCTCCCTCTGTGACTCGCCTGGCCCCTGCCATCTGCTGCCGGGCGTTCACACTGGGCACTGCTACCCACTGCACTTGCCGTAAAGTAAGGATTTCAGACACAGGCAAGGCTCGTGCTGGCAGCGTCTGGGGCCAAGGAGTGAGTCCTCAAGCAAGGGACTTCGAGAACAATCTACGGCTGGCAGATAATTCACACTCTAGCAGCCACCTGGATCTTGGACACGAGGCAGAGTAACTCTGGCACCAGTGAGCAGGCCAGGTGACAAAGCAGGGGCAGCCTGGCAACTACTTGGCCTTTAGCCCAAACAATGTATGACAGCTTCAAAGGAGACCACCTCACTGGAGGGCCGGGAGCTAGGGCAGAGGCCATCCATGGATGTACTCAATGCAGGTGACCCCTGGGTGTCTCCTGTTGAGCTGCTGTCTTACTCCTGAGAGACAAAAGGACAAGTCACCAGTGGTTCTGATCACTTCTAGACCTTATGACAAAGCTAGATAGTGCTTGGCACAGGGAGTAGCCAGTTTTGGGGCTGGGACAGGGATGTGTGGCCCCATTGGGCAGACTTGTGTCCTCAGCCCCAGCTGGGCTGACGCTCCCTTACTTCCTTTTCTGCCAAGGTTTGGCCCAGATCTGAGGGCCCAGCTACACACTCTGGCATGTACACCTGGGCTTCTGGTCAGGTCCAATGCTGCCTGTCCTTATTAAGCCAGTTCCACATGCCCAGGGACCACATGGATCCTTCCAGACAGGAGGATCTGCACTCACTATCCTAGTATCCATGTGACCTGAATCACACAGGGATCCAGAGCTTGGACCAGCTCCTGGGATGCCCTATACTAAGGGGTCTTCAGCTGGACCTCAAGACCCGGATCTGAGCACCAAGTCCTCTGGAGAAACCTGGAGCTGAAACCTGCCTGAGACACCACGAGCCAAGAATAGGACTCTCAGTAGCCTCAACGCTGGATCTAGGGCACTAATGTGGATGTTAGGCTGATCCGGGTGACGACAGTTCAGCCATCCCTCTGAGAGCTGGCCTTCCCTGGGTCAGCGAGGACTGAGGGGGTACAGAGCAGCCCCCAGGCCAGCCATGTCCTGCACAAGCCAGGCTGTGTGTGACAGGACTGAGGCAGGACAGATGACAGGGAGAGGGGAGAGGAGGAGAGACGGATGTGTGGGGAAGCGATGAGAGGAGAAGGAGTGAAGAGGCACGGGAAAATGTACTGAACTGGGCAAGGGTCTCAGCCCTGATTTTGCCTCCTGCCCTATCTGTTGGTGACATCAGATCCCCGAGTTCCCTGGACTTGGAATTCCAGCATATGCAGAGTCTCCTCCTCTTGTCTCCCATCCCAGCATCTGGAGGTTTGGGAGAACAAGGAAGGGCCTGAGAAGGGCAAATCAGGCAGGGGAAGAACAAACAAAAGAAGCTTTATAGAAACAGCAAGAGCAAACCAGATGGAAGACTATTTGCACTGAGGAATCTAGAAGGCAACTGTTTATTGATCATAATGCTGGAGGGCTGGTGGGACCAAGTTCCAATCACTAGCACGGAGGCAGTTTTGGGTTCAGTTTAAATACAGTTCTCAAGCAGGAAGTACAAGACAGATGGCAGGTTACTACATGGCTGGTTACACACATGGTCAGTAGGTCATTTTAAACAGATTTACTTAAAAGGAATTGTTTATCATAACACAGGAACATCCTGGGAATGAGGAGAGGGGTTCAAACGGAGCAAGCAGAGTTCAAAAGTGTCTTTGACTGGGTTACGTCCCCAACCAAAGCCCTTGAAACAGCTGAAAGCAATATATATTCTTTTTTTTTTGTCTTTTTCTATTTTATAGATACCGGGGATCAAACTCAGGACCACCTGCTTGCAAGGCAGGTGCATATGCCACTGAGCTAAATCCCCAGCCTCCACAATATATATTCTTAATTCAAGGAAACATGAGCTGGGAATAGTCAAGTTGGCCCAGGGCTTTATCAGAAGAAAAGTAGCTGGACCCAGACAGTGAAGGCTCACTGAATTCAGCATGGTATTTATGTGACAGGCAGCAGGAGCATAGGCTGAGGCCACTATTTGATTTTAACTTACTATAACATATCTATAAGTTTATTATTCTGTAACTCTATGCCTTTACGAATCACATAATTGTACCATATACTATAATTGTACCCCAATAATAGTATGGGACAGGGAGTGGTAGGACACAGTCTGTGGTTCCCCACATGCTCCTCTGGGCTGCCAATCTAAACATTCTCTGTGCCCCCTGTTCCAGTGCCAGCAACAGGGATCTTCCTTGGCCATTGCAAGAAGGCCACACCAACACCCACATGGACCCTGGTGCCTGGACACATCAGAGGAGCCTGCACCCCTGTGGGTTCTACAGCTCTGCTCTTGTCCAGGTGCTCCTCGCCCCCTCATAGTGTCACAGTGCGCCAACATGGAGAACAACCTGCGGATAGGGTCCATGGGAGCCAGCTTCTGCAGGAGTTGTGCTGGGCCTGGGTTCTTCCTCATTGCCCATCAGTGATCAACATGACACAAGGGAAAAAATCACACCCCACAGGGTCAGGGAATCAGAAAAGCCAATATACCCAGCTCAGCAGCTTCACCATCTGAAAGCAGGGCTGAGAAGCCCTGCTGCCCTGGGTCTTCAACGTGGGAGTAACATTCATGAGGCAGTGGTCAGGCCATGCTGCTGGCAGAGAGCTCATCAGCTATGTGTGGTACGGTGTGGCAGTTCTAGGTCAGAACAGCTGAGACCTTCCACATGCTGGGCTGCACAGGAATGGAAGAAGTAGGACAAATGTCTGACATGAGGGCTTTGGAAGTGACCCAGGGCACAAGCAGGAAACAGGTCCCTTTCTGAAGCTATTCCCACCAGGGACTTGGGCTTTAGGATGGGATCGGTGCCTGGATCAAATATAAAGCGAGACAATGAAGGTGGGCTGACTGCTTCTTTCTCCTGCTGCTGTGCCATAAACTGCTTCTCCTCTGCGGGGCCCCTCTGCCACCCCATCCTGTCTTTCAGCCAGCTGACTATGGTCTGAATCCTCCACAAGCTGGAAGTCGAAATAACTCTTTCCTCATTTAATTTTGGGTGTCAGGCATTTTGTCCCCACTAGAAGAAAAGTAACCATGAGAGTGGTTGCCAGGTAGTTGGTTAGAATAGCTTAAGAGGACAAAGATGCCTTAAAGGATATTGAGTCAAGGACAACTGTCCCACTTTGTCACCTTACTGGCTCCTAGTAGGAGACATTCTGCAGTGCAGTAAGCTGCTAGACAGGAAGGGTTAGGGTTAAGCATCTCTGTTTCTTAGGGTGGGAGAAGAAAATGCTGCTGACTGCCCACATCCCTTTATATTGTTTATTGCTTTCAGATGAAGTTCTCCTGAAAGGATCACAAGAAATTGTTTTAAATGAGCTCAAATTGCACAGCCTCTCTTGTAGGTGACCCAGTTTAAACTTTGCTTATTATAATCATATTATAAACCAGGC